GATTTACATATTTAAGTATTAAATTATTTATGAATTATTAAGTACTTTGTATTTAAACTTTTAAATATTTTATTTTAGACTTATTTCATCATTAAGTAACCTTAACAATTTATTTTATGATATTTATATAGTTTATATTTGTTTTTATTAATTATATAAAAATACAAAAATATGTTAAAATCTTACAATTCTATTTGCGATTTTACCATTCACGATCTTATCTCTCCTTTACATCTTAGTTAAAATCTCGATTTTAACAACCTTGGTACCACGACGTGAACAGTAACTTTAACTTCCAAAAAAAAGGCCAAAACACTAGCTAATTCACGGGATTTTCTCCAAAAATCACACAGCAGACAATTAACACTCAATCATATAAATCCCACTTGAATTAATACTTAAACTTCATCCTAAAGCTACCAAAATTATCCCCATTTTCCTAGCAAAATTTGGACATACACAGCCAGCAAACTAAATGAACAATTTAAGCCTTAAAAGGCTGTCACATACCATAATTCTCCAGCTAAAACCGAAGCTGCAGATTGGGGAAAGGCCGACGGCATGGAAGAAGAAAGCTCACGGGAAATCTATCAAAATTCTGCAGAAACAACACATTTAACATGAACCCAAGCTAATTTAAGGCTAAAACAAAGGGATTTAATGGCTGTTTCTTACCCAAAACCCAAGCAATTTGCCCCCACAACAAGAGCAGCCGGCGGACAGAGCAAGGCAGATCCGGATTTTCCAGCAGGGGGGAGAATTTCTGGGTTCAATTTGTGTTCTAGAGCAAGAAAAGAAGGCCAAAAACCAAGCTTTCTCACCGGTTTTCCAAGGCATGGCTGGGTTTCCCTTTTTTTTTTCTTTCGGGTGGCTGCAAAGGGAAGAAAGAAGAAGAAGAGCAGAATCGGGCAAGGGTGGGAAGAAAGAAAGAAGGAAAAAGAAAAAAAGAAAAGAAGCCATCCTTATCCAAATTCTTTTCCCTTTTTAAGTCCCTCAGCTTTCAGAATATTCACATTAAGCCCCAAAACAATCTTTTCTCACACAAAGGTCCTTAACTTAATGCTAAAATATCACAAAATTTTGGGGTATTACAGTTACTAAAAAAAAAAGTGATTTGAATGAAATTTTAGTCCAATTGAATGCATATTCCCAAATATTTATGACAAGTAATATTAGACATATATACAATTTAGAAGGAATGTGAAGTAGAATTTATATATAAAATGATCAAAAAGTTAATAATAGTATAATATGAATAAATAAGAAACATAATATCTTGTCCAAAAAAAAATGCAATATCTTCAGATAACTTGATCTTTATCAATTTCATATCTTTTTTATTCAATTTAGTATATGAATCAACATTATCATTGCTCTGATGAACTCCAAATCCCATGAATAAAATTTTGTCCTTAACACAAAAAAGAAAAATAAAATAAAACCATTAATAATTTGAAAAGAAAAGAATGCAGCATAAATTTCAAATAGATCAAGTTTCAAAATTCTTTCAAAAATAACAATTATTATACATTCTATAAAAAAATTCATAAAAAAAATAATAAGACTAGTAAGGAAAATAGTTTATACAACAATATACATATATTTTGGACTAAGATGAAAAAAGACATATAAAATAAAAATATAATATTATATTTAGTTATAATATGAAATAGGAAACAAAAAGAAAAATAATATTTGGAACTCACCATATTAACAAAAACAAATTGAAGAAATGAAGAGAAGAATATGATATATTGGTGTAGAGAAAAGTGAGAGTTTATCTATAGGTGAGTAGGAAGATGGAAAGATACAGAGAAAGACTATTTAGTATGTAATGCAATCTTTTATTATTATTATTATTATTATTATTATTATTATTGATAAAATGTATGTTTCTCTTTTAAAATAAAAATAAAAATGATAATATTTAATGTCTAATCAATGTATTATAAGATAAAAGGAAATTTCACAATTATTCATTAATATGAAATTCACCCTATTTATTTTTGTATTTTTAAGTAATTTATTATGTAAATTTTTAAATAATTAAATGTATAACCTAATTAATGTGTAATACAGCATTATATATATAAATTCATTTAAAAATAAACAAATATAAAATTTTAAGAAAAATGTAATATCAAGGTATAATAGTCGGTCAAACAAAAAAAAAAATGGGATTAACTATTAAGGATGTGATGATGAAATCTCATTGCATGTCCACGAGTAAGAGAATGATATGTGAGGTTATGAGACTAAAAGGATTAGGATAACTTGAGATTGGCCATGTCGAATAGGAATTTTTTGTTCTTGTTGCTAGATTCCTAAGTTGCTTCAGCATCTTCAAGTATAGCTATTAGTGTATTGCTTGTTGGAAGGTAAGGAAATAAAGCAAGTTACATGCCTGTCCGTCTTGGCAAGAAAATTTATGTTTTATTTGAAATTACCATTTTACCCTTTCTAAAGCTCATTTTCATGTTTTCTATAGAGTTTAACATTTTACCCCTGTTTTTACTTATGCCATGGTTTAATTATCAATCAAGCTTCTAAATCATTGCTTTTAAAAACAAAAGTAATTATTTATAAAATTACAATTTTGTCCTTGCCTTTACTATTTTTTTTTTTAATAAATGGTTTAACCTTGATATAAGTATGTTCTCTTGATTTTTGAACATGATATTTCTGTTTTGAAACGTTACAAAAAAACGTAGTTTTGTCTGCCCTTGATGATCTTGTATCTTGTTATATGCCTGGATGCCATCATGGCTACTCATTGGCTTATAAATTCTGTTCTGCATTGGCATGTTGACATATTATTATGCTTGTTATGCACCGAAGCTAATCGGTGTCTTGACATTCTTGTTTCATGCATGATCTATTGTGCTAGACCTCCTATACTTGTTCATGAAAAATAAATTTCAGCACAAGATATTTTATATATGATATAAATCTGTTGTTACTTTTTGGTATTGAGATGAAGCACTATGATTAAGTTTCACGTCTTTATTAAGTACTTGAAAATTTAGTACATGTCTAGCATGCATGATCTCAACATGAGCTTATTTCCTTACGCAGCTGCGCTCACACCTGCGAACAATATGTCACGCCCCAAAACCAAATTCGAGGCGCGACAAACGCCGTGCACTCGTGAGATGGATCCCACAAATGCACAAGACTCGAAACTTATCAAATTCACACTCTGATACCATCAAAATCTGAAGATCAAATTATAAAATCTCTCTGATATCATAAATCTTCAATAAAATCTCCAAATACAAGATCATGATTCATATCTAAAATCTATGTCAATCTCGAAATGGCTAGCCTTCTAACTCGTCACTTCCTGTGGTTTCCCCGTCCTCGGTTTCACTTCCTGAAATGGTGGACAAGGAAAAACTATGAGATAAACTCAGTAAGTAAATATGGAGTGCCCTTATTAAACTTATAGCATGCCAACAAGTACAATCACGAAAAACGGATACAGTGCGGGAACGAAATAGACGTCTCCTCTATAGGTCATGGCCAGTGTTTAAACCTCCCACTGGCAGGCAACAGGAATTGCTAGTGTTTAACTCCCACTAGCAGGATTACAGGAATGAACCGGTTCTATCAGGAACATGTCGACATGTGCTAGCGTTTGACCTCCCACTAGCGGGCAACAGGATAACATGACCGTATTGGAGACAAAACAGGTAGAAGTTAACAGAAAATTCATAATTCACTAATCACTTTCAAATCATCGGGACAATCAATTAAATTCCAAGCAGGCATGCTCAATTTCATGAAAAGCATAAAAATTCAGAACTTCAAATCAGTCATACTTGTGTAAAATGGGTTTAGTCCCGCCACCATTTCAAAAACAAATCAAAACATTCTTTTAAAACTGTACGGGCATTACCATAAATTTACTTACCTCACTCGCATAAAACCGAGCACTCAATTTACGTACTAAACTGACAGGACGATCAAGAACCTAATCAAGATATTTCAAGAATTAATACCACTATCACAAATTCAAGCTGAAATCATCATTAGGATCATTACTAATCACAATGCTATTTCTATCACTTTCCACATGATTGGACATCTCCAAATTCGTTCTCATATCACAAACTAATCATTTAAATTCCCGTTAAATGTTGGCCCTCGGGGTGTGAACAGTAACCGATGAACAGTGCCGATGAACAGTGACCCCGACGTGAACAGTAACTCCACTTCCACAAATTGGCCAAAACACTAGCTAATCTCACGGGATTTTCTCTCCAAAAATCACATCAAGCAATTAATACTCAATCACATAAATCCCACTTAAATCAATGCTTAAACTTCATCCTAAAGCTACCGGAATTATCCCCATTTCCTAGCCAAATTCGGGCATCACAAGCAACAACTTTAAATGGATAATTTAAGCCTTAAAAGGCTGTCACATACCATAATTCTCTAGCTAAAACCGGAGCTGCAGATTGGGGAAAGGCCGGCGGCATGGAAGAAGAAAGCTCACGGGCTACCCAAAAATTGAAGGAAATAAGAGCAATCAAAGTTAACCCAAGCCAATTCAAGCAAGAACAAAGGAAATTAGGGGCTGTTCTTACAGAAAAAATGCCCAGAAATCACCCATACCCACTAGCAGCCGACGGTGAAGACTAGCAGAGCAAGGCAGATCTAGAATTTCCAGCAAAGGGGGAGAGATTTCTGGGTTCTCGAAGTGTTCTAGAGCAAGAAAAGAAGGAGAAAACCAAGCTTCCTACCGGTTTCCTCAAGGCATGGCTGGGTTTCCCTTTTTTTTTTTTCCTCGGGTGGCTGCAGCGGGAAGAAAGAAGAAGAAGAGCAGAATCGGGCAAGGCTGGGAAGAAAAGAAAGAAAGAAAAAGAAAAAGAAAAAGAAAAGAAGTCATCCTTATCCAAAATCTTTCCCTCTTTAAGTCCCTCAAGTTTGGACATTTCGGCTATTAAGCCCAAAACAATATTTTTCCACAATTTAGCCCCTAACTCACTTATTTATTCTAGAAATTTTTGGGGTATTACACAATATTTCAGAAACTATTCCCAAAGGCAAGACAATGGGACATAAGGAGAGAGATGTAACTAGATAGTTATTTTGTTTTCAATAATTAAGCTTGAGATTATCATGACTTGAGTTTGGAGATTTGAGTGATTTTAACTTTGGAAACTATAAGAGTTTCTTTATAACTTGAGTTGATTATGAGAATTACAAGATAATGTTAACAATGATGAATTATGATTTGGAGTTAATCTTTCCAGGTTATTGACTTTCTAGAAATAATGAACTATTTTAGAGTTATTTAGTTTGTGATTAATTGTAAGTAGGTTTTGAGTCTTGTACATCTACCGTCTCTATAAGTGTAAGTCTTGTGGTTTGAGTTTTGCACTTTTGAGGAAACATAATTATTAATGGTTCTTACATGAATATATCTCTTTGAACACTAATAATAGAATTTGACTTATTCTTACCTTCAACAATCTTTAAAAGAAAATTGGTTAAATCACGATTTTTATTTTCTAAATAATTGCATTTAAAAATCAAATCTTTTTTCTCATTTTCAAAAAATTCTTTTTGAGAATCAACATCATTTTTCAAACCAACTTTTTCAAGTCTCAAAGAATCACAAATCTTTCTAAAAACAAATTCACTACTAGAATGCATGGCATCACCGACAAAAAACCATGCCAAAAACCAAAGGGAATCTCATTGGCAAAAACTGTTTCCAACTTGAATCATGTCAATAATATACATGTTGGTATAAGCATAGTTGTCAAAATCACGTTTTAATTTGTAAAATTGTACAATTTTACGATTTTAGATATGCAATTTGTGTAAAATCGAAGTTAAAATTAAGATCTCAAAAAGTCATAACAGTAAAATTGTAAAATCAAATGAAATCGGATAAAAATGAGATTTTACAAATTTAAAAGGTTTTATGAATTTTTGTGTCATCATGCGACTAATAATCACCAACAGTGTATTGGTGGAGCTGTGCTTGTTGATTATTTATGGGTTGCTTGGTGGTGATTTGAATCTTGGCCATCTAATTTGACATTTTTGGGTTTACAAGCAAAAATTTTGAACTTTTGTAAATTTTTTATAAGTTACACTAACAATATTTTATTATGAAATTTTTTTCTTAGGTGAAAATTATTAAAATTTTAAATAATTTAATAACTATGAAATAGAAAAATGCCCAAAAAGATTTGAAATAATTAATTAGTGATTATACTTCTTAAATAAATTTTAAATTTTAAACATTTGATGTTATATTTTAGTAATATATAAATTTTAAATTAATTTAGTAAATTTTTTATTTTACCAATTCGATTTTACCTTACCAAAACAATTTTATCTAAACTCTCGATTATGATAACCTTGGCTATAAACCTCCTCGATGATCAATTCACTGACATGACTTAAAGTTATGTCAATAAATTGCTCCACATTACCAACAAAAGCCATGTCTCTAATTGGCTGTCGAAACGATATTGCCAGAGCTTGTTTCAGGTAAGTCATGTCGGTAAATTAGTACAAATTATCGACGAAAAGCATGTCTCTAATCTATAGTTGATTTACTGTGGCTAGGCTAATTACTAGTAAGTCACGTCAGTAAATTACTAACGAGAAGAATGTCTGAAAATGGATGCTATAGTCACCGACGAAAATAATGTTGGGACTAGATATAATTTTATAATATTCCTCATTCTTTTATCGACAAAACTGTAATCGTTTAACTTGATTTAGGAATTTCCAAAAAAATTTATAATATTCCTCAATTTTTTTACCGACAAAGCAAAAAAATTGAAATAGGAATCTGCAAAATAATAATAATAATAATAACATCTAGTTACCGGCAAAAATATTGTTGATACAGAATATTCTGAAAATAAAGAGTTTGTTTAATAAATATTGAAATTAATAAATATTTTTATTTAATTTAATCTATTTACTGTTAAATATTACTTAATTTATAACTGTTACTATTGTAAAAAATAAATATAATATTAAAATTTTATAATAAAAACAGAAAATTATTGAATTTATTTGCTAAAACTAGTATTTAAGACATAACTAAAAAATAAGAATAATAAGACATTTAAAATATAATTGAATAGCGTAATAAAAAAAATTAAAAATTACCTCAATTATAGAATTGATATTTATAGAGTACCATTTCCTCAAAAAAGATAAAATATAAATTAATTTAATATTTATATATAATTTCATCCAAATAATAATCAAAATATAATTGAAATTAAATTACAGTTTACATAAATAAAATTTATTTACCCGTTGATTATCTTCCAACAATATTTCCTACAAAACAATAATATAAAAAAAATAGAAGTGTAAATAAATTGATCAATCACTCAAATTGATGTTCAATCAATTGGGGAGAAAGAATGGAAGAGAAAAAGAGAGGAGATTGAGAAAATATAAACCAAAATTAACATAAATATAATGTAATTATAAACATGATAAAATTCAGCAAATTTTAATGGAAGAGAAAGGAGGAGAGACATATAAGGGAGGAGAAGAAGAAGAAGAAGAAACAAATTGAGCGGGCTATGTAGGTGTGAGAATATATAGTCTTTTACCTATGTGCAATTTGTTGGTATTGTTTTTACCTACGTAACGCACATAGGTAAGATAAAAGTTTCAACGGAAGCAAAAAAAAAGACAAAAATTTCATGATCCTGCCCTTTTTTAACTGACAAAATTCTTGTTGGAAAGTTAAAAACCAAAAATTTTGTGGTTCCCGCCATCATTTACGCACAAACGCATGTTGGTAAGTTAAAAGCAAAAATTTGGCATTCCTATCATCAAGATTGCTGACAAAGTGCATGTTGGAAGGTGAAAAGGTGGCCATCTTTCCAATGTGCTCCTTGTGGGTAATGCTAAGTCCTCCTTCAATTCCCAAATTTCTTTCTTAGATTTCATTTCTTTTTCATTTTAATTTCTAAAATTTATCCAATAGATTTCTTGCATTTTAGTTGACATAAATTCTAAAATAGATTTGACAAAGTTTCCTCGTACATATGATAAAAATCAATATTTTTAAACTTGCATTGACAGTAAAAAACGCATGTTCTACAACTTTACTATACTAAAAGCAAGTATACCTCTTCAACCATAACCACATACCATTGTCCTAAATCTCTATAATATTTAATTTTGAATTTAATTAATAGGTTTCTTGCATTCTGGCCATTTTAGTGGACAAAAATTCTAAAAAAATTTGGCAGAGTTTCCCTATATATTTGATCAAAGCCAATTTTTTTAAATCTACATTTGCAATGAAAAGCACATATTCTACAACTTTGCCATACTAAAAGCAATTCTTTCTCTTCAACTGCAACCACATACCACTGTCCTAAATGCCTATGATATTCAATTCATAATAATTAAACCCCAAAATAGTCCAAAAGTTCACTTTTTTTCAAGTATGATTATTGGAGGTCAAGCAAAATATGAAAAGATACCCCAATAAAAAGTTGTTGGGGTGTGCTGGTGATGTAGGTTGATGAGTCAGCAGCGGTGATGATGTGGAGGCTAACTAGGATAACACCCATGGAGATGAGGAGGGGTTCTTTTGGCGGCACCCGTCTCACGTGCACATGGCTACGTGCTACAGGCCATCCCATTCTATCCAGCGATGATATCACACAACTGGCTCCCCAATGAAGTTGCAGAACATAAATCCCCTGGCCAATCTACTAGAGCCAAACAACGACAACAAACTTCTTACAGACTCGGAATGATTACACAACTACCAAAATCAACAATAAGAATATGCATATATGGCTAGAAGGGTGATGAAGATGATAAACATATGGGGTTCAAAGATTACAATTTTAAAGTTGCCTTTACACATAGAACACCATGACATAGTAGTAATGACACCAAATAAAACCGCTGTCATCTCTAGTGAACATTTTCACCCTATAACGCATAATTCTCATTTTGAATGCGAAGGGCGTAACGACCCTCCTTCTAAAATTTCTTAAAGAACAAAGAAAAAAAAAGGGATAAACTCGAAAATAGTGATGGGAGAAGGAAAGGTGTTCGCTTGGGGACGCTTATGGGTGGAACTCTCAATCCCGTTCTTTGATGCTAACCATGCGGCTTGATCGTTTGATGCTCAAGAAGAATTACATGAGAGATGGAACTGTAAGCTGTTGTTTCCCTGCCATGATATCTTGCAAATATGGGACTACTCTGTGATATTGGAGATTATCATGTGAGGCTAGAGGACATTCTGCAATATTAGAGATACAGAGAAATGATGGTTTCTAGGTAGTTTTTAACATGTGGGATGATGGATTATAGGTGGAGTAATTTTTCTAAGGGAGGAAGAATGGGGATTTGATGCGTGAGAAGAAAATCTGGGTTATTCTATGTGTCCCTTTTTGAATGGTAAAGGAGGGATGATATATGCAATCAGGGGTAGTTCTGTAATTCTACTTAATATGTCAGAAATGTACAGATGGGTCCAGGTGAGTTGTCAAGCTTAGAATGGTTCCGGGCACTATTGATGGTTGCTCTGGCATTAGCATCATGAGTTGCGCGTTGGTTCCAACGAAGCTTCGCTGGTTCCAACGAAGCTTCGCTGGTTCCAACGATGGACTGGAAACTGGCTATTATTGGAAATTCTCCCAGCCATACGAAACTCCGTTTTTGGGGGATGCTTAAGTGCAACCGACAGAAACACCACCTGCATAGTTATTTGGTAAGTTCCCCAAGCTTTGTTCGAGATTTTGGGAGATTTTGCAAGCAAATAGTAATCTTCCATAGTAGTTTCCAAGGCCATGAAACTTGTGCAGCCACCCTTGCATTAAATGTGGTCACAAGTTGCTGATGGTGACTCAAGCAGCATCTTCAGTCGGTCTTCAATGGGATTTCCAGCCTCTAGTTAGCATCAAAGGGTATTGTTCTGGGAGTTAAGTTTGTTTCCACACCGTCACCACCCAGCCATTTCTGGCAAAATTAGGCAACATTGCTAGTGACAAGCTTCGCTAGCGCGAATGCCTTGCTTTGCTAGACAGGCAACGTTCACCCATCCATGCCTGCCAAGCCACTACTCCCATAGTTTATCCCAAGTAATTCCCATGAGCTTGGATTCACGGGCTTGCGCTTATCTACGATAATAACAAAATACATATGAGCATATATTTGAGTATTTTAGATACAAGCAATATGTGAATATACACAGCAAAGAAAAGAACTCCCTTATATGTTGAGGAAGACTATGTGGGCAAATGTTTGCTACTCCCATTTATTTGCTAGCCATGGCAGGTGCTACTTTATTGTTGCTATGCATGGCTAGTGTTGTACTAGAATAAAGAATGGATGACATGGGTGTATGCTGCGATATCGTTATCCCAGGCCAAGCTTCACTGGCTGGCGGTAACTACTAACACTTAGGATATAAGAGAGATACGTTATAGATTGGGATTATCGTAGACCGGTAACTTTGTCCCTTTGTATAGAAAGATGATGATATACATGACCGCTGATCATGTTGCATAAGTATTATAGGGTCAGCCATGGATAGCTTTCCCATAGCTAGAGGGACAATAGTGGCTAGCTTCGTCCATGGCTGAAGCGTGAACTATGTGGCATTGGAAGAGAACTCCTACTAATCTGCTAAGTAGCGAAAGGGTAAATCTCGTTAAACCAGACTTTGCCATAGCGATGAAGATGTGATAGAGAGAGGTGGAGTTGTCTCCATGGAAGGGGGATGCCAGCCACATCCATGGCCTCCGATACGAGAAGGTGTGATACCACTAACAAACAATGACCCTTCTTGCCATACCGCATCGTCAGAGGGTGGTCTTGGTTGTTGTTACCTACCGGGCATTGCAACACCATGCACAGGCGACCACCAAGGGACCGTCGGCCGCTACTTGATGGATTTTCATTGCTAGAGGGTAGCCATCCCATTTGATTGTAGGGTTGTAACTGTTACCGGCCTCAAGCTAATCGTACCGAGTTGTGTTGACTCTTTGTCTGTTTTCGAGAGCCAATGAGATAGATATGTAATAGATCTGGTCCTTTGTCCATCATTGGGAGCTGTGTTAATGTAATAGGATCAACCTGTTTTCCATTGATGGGAACCAGTGATAAAGATATGTAAGAGTGGATGCTTGGCCCATTGTCCATCGTTGGGAGTTATATAGATTAGCCTGTTGTCCTTTGATGGGAGCCATATAGCAAAATAGGCTCTTTATCCATTGTTAGGAGCTACAAGATATAGTAGAGAACATCGGTGTAGAAGACATGGCCGTCAAGAAGCACCCAGCCATGTCGCCGAAATAGACTTAGCCATGTCTGGCCATGTGTGTGGAGATCGATGCTAGAATGAGTCACATTCTGCGATATTTCCAACAAAGCAAATAAGTGCCCCCTCTGGCGATGTTGATTTCACAGTAGCAATTAGTAGAAAATTGGAATCACACGTCAGATGTGGGAAGATAAGTATTGCGGTCCTTTGCTGATGTGGAGCCGCACATGTCGTTAGTTACGTAGCCATGCAAATTCATCCATCAACAAAAGTTAAAGCTAACAGGTAAAAGTATTAAGAGAAATAAAGGCAACCATGCAAAGTATGCAGATAACCAAGCGAAAAACAAAACTAAGGAGCCGGATAGTTTGGATTGAAAATAGGATGATGTGCATCATCTTGAGGCGGAAGCTACTACTAATATTCAAGCAACATAGAAAAGGTTTGTGTAGAATCAATGGAATAGGCAACAGGTGTATTCATCTGAAGACCTGAGCCCTAACTATGTGGCAGTTGTGGTGGGGTAAATGGATGATAACCTGCCTAGGGGGAGATGCCATAAGCAGCCAGAGCTGCTGCAATAGACTGTTCAATTGTCTGGCTCATATTATTCTTGGTGTGTGTCATGTGGGCCAGCTACTATTGCATCATAGCCATTTACTAGTGTTGCCTTTCTAACTCTTCATTTTGTTTTGCCACAAGCTCATTCTGGCATGCCTACTCCTCGACAAAGTCAGACATCATCATCATTGCCATCAAGTTGTCTCAAGGTTGTCTCTTCTTGTAAGTAAATCTAACATCCTTTGGATTCACTTGGGAGCCAATCCCTGGCATGAAACTGGATGAGCAACCTCCAATCGCCTTAACCCATGCCTCGTGATCCATTTGTGGGCATGAACTAGCATCAAAGCCATGGGTCTCTGTGCACTCCGCGACATTAGTATCCTAAAAAATAAAAATAAAAATACTAATAATAATAACAATAATAATAATAATAATAATAATAATGTTGTTAAAAGCAGTTTGAAAAAAATCTATTAAAAAAAGAGAGAGTAGACTTTACTAAATAATTTAGATTAATTAAATAAATTTTTTCGACACTTATAACTACAAATTTTATAATAATTGATATATTATATATACTTACATGTTGGTGCTTTGCTTTTTCATTTGTCCACGTCGGCTTCTAATCCTTTGCCACCTTCTTTCTAAAGGTGTGTATCTCCTTGAACTTTTCCTAATAGGGAGGTTGCACACTGCCTCTAGCTTCAGTCTACATTTCAAAATATTTATAATGCAAGATATTGATTAATATAAATTGACACAATTTATTGTTAAATAAAATTTAATATATTTAATTTTTTTTATTAATTATACTTTATTACCAGCTGCATCTCGTGGATGCCAAAACTAATAGACCTAGTGGTGTGAGTCACCATCTTCCCAAAATCCTTATTCTTTACTCCCCTTTCTTAGAGGATCTTATATTCATTAAAGTCCCACTATTCCAGTTGCAAAGACCATATATGAGGTGGGATCCAACATAGGACATAAGTTGGGTCCTTTTCCCACCTCAACCTCTCATCCCTCATGTTGTCACTCCATCTATGTTTCATACAATTTAAGAATGCATTTCATACATGGAGACTATCTACAGGTTCCCACTAGTAAAGTGTTTACAAAATAAGAAATGACCAACATTAGATGTGTAAAAAGGATAAATTCTAGTTTACTAATTAAATTATTTATTTTTATTAGAAATTGCTAAATCCATTAATTTTATTAAATTTATTAAAATTAAATCTTATTTTAAAACAAGTGTAAATTTCGTTAATTTTTTTGAGGGGAAGACACTCAAATGAGAAATATATGCCATCAAAACATGACTTCCATAAGGCAGTGATAGCATGAGGAATGGATGGATTAGCAAACTGCAGCTTATCATGAGTAAGTTAAACCCATGTCCTATCCTCTCTATTCTCTGGAGGGCATAAACCTTTCAAATTCGTGCTGCATCCTTTTGTCCCATATGAGGATGAAAGGGCCTCACCATCATGATTGGATGTAAAATGATCTATATCCTTTATCAATGGATCATGTATCAGTTACTCTGTATCATGCCACTATTAGAGAATACCCGTGGCTGATCACGCCTATGTCGCCCTTGGGATTCTGAGGAAGAAGATCTCCTCCTAGCTGAACTTGTAGGATTTCCAGACATCTTGAAAGAGGAATAACAAAATAGTTATTAATACATGCATACAAATAATGAATAATAAATTTAGAACAATCATATAATGATGTTATTTTAAATGAAAAATATACAACTTGATAAAATAATATATATAAGACAGAGAAATCTTAATTCATATATTTAATGAGTAATGATATATGATAACAAATGTTTCAATCAATCATCACTATCATCCTCCTCCTCAACATTGTCACTATTTCTTGAGGTTTTTGAATCTTTTTTTTTCTTTGTAGTCTTCCTTTTCTTCAGATGTGTCAACATCAACCTCAACTTCTATAACATCTTCTACATAAAGTTAAAGTGATTGATATATAGTTAAATCTATAGCCAATGAAGAGCCTTGTATTATAGGGGGTCATTATTTTGAAAAATGTCATCAATCTTTACTAAAGATGAGGTAAATGAGGTATCAATTAGATGTCTAGATTTTATTTTATATGCTGCAAACCATCCTCGAATAGTTCCATCCGTGGCTGGATGTGAATTATAATAAACTTGTTGTGCTTGACTAGCAAGGCAAAATGGCTCTCTTATTGAAAGTTTGAACCTTGAATTGACATCAACAATTCTGTATTCAACATCCACGTGTATTCCTCGTCTCTTGTAATACTAATCACAATTGAACAAGATTATAGTCTCTTGTCGGCTTGAGTGTTCATAATATAATAACTTGATTACCTCTTTCAAGATGCCATAATAATCAATTTCATCTTCAGAATTAATGGTGGTTCCTTTAACACAAACACCACAGTTATATGGCTTTCCAGTCCTAGTATACTCTTCAATCAAAAAATGAAGCCATTCACATATAACCCATTATAAACATTCACTTGAAAGGTCAAGCCAATTGTAAGAGGGATAAGTTGTTCATTGATTTCACATTGTTCACCAATCACCTATACATTAAACATTTTTAATTTAGTAATATTTAACATTTAATTAAAAATTTGAGAAATTAGTATATAATAATTTGTTACCATGTTTTTAAACCAACGAACAAAACTATTTCTTTGCACTCTTTGTAGTTGTTCGAAAGTCATATTTGCACCAACTTCTTCATCAAATTTATTTAAAAACAATATTTATTTATTAATTAAGACTTTATGAAAATCATATTAGCTGTTATATTCTAAGGAGTAAAACTCACGCTGCTTAAACATCAACCTCCTTGCAATTCAACAAGAAATATAGTTTAGTTGCATCTTTCTCCTCCAATATTAAACATTGTGTATGTGATTGTGCACCTATTGATTGACTAGGGCAACAAAACATGGATAACTAACTTGCAACATTGCTCCTAATGTGGCTATAGTTCCTTGGCGATTGATTCCAACATGTCTGAAAATCATCCCCAAAATAATGAGAGCAGAAGTGGGTTATCTCATATAATATAAATGCCTCAACAATCGATGCCTCTATGTGATTTTCATTCCCTATAGTCCTCTTAGGTTTGTGCATGCGCTTGAAAAAGGATATTGATAAACTTAATTTAAAAAATTAATCAGTATTTAATTATAATAGTTTCAACTTTTTATATGTTTTACCTTTCAAATGGGTACATCCAACCAAATTGAATAGGACCACCAACTCTAGCCCCATATGAAATATGAATTGCAAGGTGCTTTATAGAATCGAAGAATGTCGGGGGAATATTATTTCTAACTTACAAATTATTTCAACAATCTTTGCCTCCCACTCCTGCATCTCATTAGATCTGATGATCGGGGAACAAAGTGAACGAAAAAAGTTACTAATGTTGGTCAAAAGACCACAAACAATAGATGGAAATAGACCACAAAAAGCAACTAGAATCAATCATTGCATGAAAACATGATAATCGTGACTTTTCATCCTAAATAACCTTGATTCATTCAAATTGACACATCTTGATATGTTAGAAGCATATCCATATGGAAAGCGCAACAATTTCAACCATGCACATAGAAGTTTCTTTTTTTCCGAGGTAAGTGTGTAAGTGGCATTAGACTTCACAAGCTTACCATATACATCATATCCCATGTGCAATTTTTCTAGGTCACAATAAATGGCTAAATCCAAGTTGGCTTTCGCATTGTCTTTTATCATATTATCATCCATAACAATGTGTACTATATTGTCAAAGAAATTCTTCTTACAGTGCATTACATCATGATTATGTCTAATAAGATTATCTTGCCAGTAAGGAAGTTCCCAAAAATGCATGATGCGCTAAAATCATTCTAACAAGTGTACTAGTCGCTCCAAATAATATAATGATGAGAAGAATGTCGAACCCACAAGGATTGCGAATTAACTAACTACCAAAATAATTAATCTAAATTTAATTAAAGAATAATAAAAAGAAAATAACAATTTAAATAAAACTAACCAAAATATGAGGTACTAAGGCATCAATTTCACCATAATCAATTAATATAAATTCTGAATTAATATGCTTCCAAAACTAATTTATTGAGTGTTATTGCATGTGATGGCGGATTTCCCTAAATTAACTAACTAGCTTTCTCAAGTCAAGTTAATCCTTCATTTATTTGTTAAATTAATTATATCTTTATGTAATTTTAAACAAACTAATGAGTATTAATATAATATCCCAAATTTTTAGATATTTTAGCATCTAGTTAGGGACTTAATTGTGAAGAAATAACATTGTTGTAGCTTAATGG